CTGGGGACGATGGATGCATCCACCAGCACAATGCCTCGCCCCCCCAGTTCCACCGCACAGCCCTGCACCGCTCCTCGCTGGAGGGACACATGGACATCCTGCAGAAGCTGCTGGACAGCGGGGCCACCGTTGACTTCAGGGACCGGGTGAGGCCAGATCCTGCCCCCGGCTCCATGCTGGTCTGAGCCTCTGGGCATGGAGCAGCCAGAGCAACTGGAGGGTTGGGGTCACCACAGCGGGGGCAGTGCTGTCCCCAAATTGAGGTGGCCACGGGCAGGGTTCTGCTGGCTCAGCCCTGGCACAGGGAGAACTGGCTGGGGTGGAGGAAGGACATGGGCTGGGGTGTCCCCCATCGTGACATAGCTCTGTGCTCCCAGCTGGACTGCACCGCGGTGCATTGGGCCTGCCGGGGAGGGCACCTGGACGCTGTCAAGCTGCTGCAGGACCGCGGGGCAGACCTCAACGTGAAGGACAAGGTGTGCGGGGCAGAGCCTCGGGCATGAGGCTGTGCCAGGGGCAGGGACATGTCTCAGGAGGACCAGGGCTGGCCCTGTGTTGGGTTAACAGGGGTGATGCTGATCCCCTCTGGTGTGCGTCTCCTCCCCTTGCAAGCTGCTGAGCACTCCCCTCCATGTGGCCACCCGGACCGGGCACCCTGATATTGTGGAGCACCTCATCCACTGCGGGGTGGACATCAACTCCCAGGACAGGGTGAGTGCTACAGCTATGCAGCCAGCTCTGGGGAGGCAACACTGATCCCCTCTCCCTTGCCTTGAACTCTCCACGTCATCCAGACACACACATGCATCCCTGCCCTGGGGTGCTGGTGGCTGCAGCCAGGTCTGGGGCATGCACTGTCCCATTTGTCCTCATGGGGAGGTGGGTGTGAGGGAGCTGGGGACAGGCAGAGGGTCCCTGTCCCCAGAGCTGGACTATGGTCCACAGCCAGGCTGCGTCTCTCGCAGGAAGGTGACACAGCCCTGCATGACGCCACGCGGCTTAGCCGCTACAAGATCATCAAAATGCTGATCCTGTACGGGGCTGACATGATGGCCAAGAATGAGGTGAGTGGTGGGGGCCAGCACCAGGGCCATGTGCTGCCCCACCATGTCCTGCCTCTTCAGCCCCTCTCTGCCCACCCTTCCAGGCTGGCAAGACCCCGACGGACCTGGTGCAGCAGTGGCAGGTGGACACACGCCAGGCGCTGGAGACCAAGGAGCAGCCACAGGGAGAAATGGAGGTCCCAGCGTGACAGCGCAGGGCAGGGACCAGGGACCGGGCTCAGCTCCGAGGAGCAGGATCCATCTGAGACTTGTCCTTGACAATAAAAGCCAGCAAAGAGCAGCATTCGGCTCCAGGGGGCTGTGGGGCTGGGCAGCCTGTGCTGGGGGCGATGGGGCTGGGGAGGCTGGGTTAGCTGGGGAGCTGGGTTGTCTGTCAGCAAGGATGTGCCCTCCTAGCACAGAGACTTGAGTGTTGGTGACACATGGGGCCAGGACAGGAGTGGTTTAGGGGCAGGACTCCTCACTGCATGATGCCCTGGTTGCTCACGATGCTTCAAAGTCCCACTTGGGCAAGCTCAGGGAGGAAAACTACACCAAGGGTCTCTCAACCCAGGTCCATGCTGTGCTGGAGGCTGGGGTTGCACAAGAGAGCAGCAGTTGTACCCCGGCCAGGCAGCCACTCTGCGGGGCTGGATGGCTGCGTGTTCCCCGCTGGAGCCATCCCCAGGGAAACATGGTGGCTCCTTTGCAAGCTGGGTCACTCCTGAGTGCAGTGCTCGCTGATCCCTGCCCAGGAACACTCCTGCTCATCCATTCACAGGAGACCCTACACCAACCCCCAGAGCAGGCTGACCCTCCCCACAGCCCCTGGACTCCCTGCAGTGCTCGGTCCCTCCTGGCCCTGCAGCCCAGCCCTGGGAGTGGCAGAGGGGTGGCTGCGAGGGCTGACAAGTGGAAGGGAAAGTGCAGCTGGGGCAGACAGGGCTCACCCAGAGGGTGCTGAGATCCTACGGTCAGCTCCTGAAGCAGGGGACAGCATCCTAAGCCCATCTGGTACCACCCCCATGTTTTCTGCCCAGATGGGTCGCAAGTCCCTCACGTGTCCCGTCAAACATTAACAGCCCCTTGGAGGGGCAGGACAGCACGGCCAGCAGCAGCACCCAGCCACCATGGCGCTCAGCACCCTCCTCGCCTCATCCCTCCGGCCCGCCCTGGCAGCTCTGCGTCGAGCAGCCCCTGGGCAGTGCCAGGGGCTCAGCACCCCCCCAGGACTGGGGCACACACTCGACCTCAGGGGCATCTTCCCGCCCCTCTCCACCCCCTTCTCACACACGTGGGAGGTGGACTATGCCCAGCTGGAGGGGAACCTGCGCCGCTATGCCAGCATCCCCTTCCGAGGTAAGCGCTGCCCCTCTCCATGCAGGTTCCTGACAAATCTCTGTCCGCTGCAGGGGCTGTGAGGCAGCGTGCCGGCCTGCCGGCTTCCCAAGGGTACTCAGCCTCCAGCTGGACTTTGCTACAGGGCTGGCAGCTCCTACCCTCATAGGGCTCTTTGTATGGCATGTGTCCAGGCAGCCCAGGCACACGCGTGTGTCCTTGCACACCCCTGCCACACTCCGGTGCATGCTTGCAGACACACTCCACACGTAGCTTCAGGCTTGCACCTACCCTCTGCACACCCATGCACACTCACACAGGGTCAGTGCCATGGGATGTGTTTCTGCTGATTGCCCAAGATGGATGGATGGGAGGAGAGGGGCTGCAGGAAGAGGCTGGGGGTTGCAGAGATGTGCCCCAGGGTCTCCCCTCTTCTGACCCGGCTCTGAGTCCAGGGCTGCAGGGACAGAGACAGGAGAGGGCACACTGTGGGCTGCAGAGTCCTAGTCTGGGTGCCCAGGGGCAAGGAAGGGAGAGAGAATGATGGGGACACCCAATCCTCCTCCCATCCTGGAGCCCTGGGTGCTGCACCAGAGCCTGGCAGCACCGGGCTGGAGCTGGCCTGCTTGTGCCAGTGGTCACAAGAAAGGGGTCTGTGTCCCCAGCTGGGGACAGGACAGCACAGCCTGGCTGTGGGCACTAATAAATGCCCCACTAGTGGTGCTGTGTGGGATGGTTTCTGGGGATGGAGGTGCTCAGGCACTGTCCTCAGCCCACAGGGTGCATCCACGGCACGCATGAGTGTACCTGGGTAAGGGACGGCACCACTGCTGCTCAGTTCAGTGCGGGTGGGCACTGCCATCTGGGGGCACACACCCACATGTGCCCCTTTGTGGGGGAGCCCAGGGCTCTGCTGGGCACCCATGGGAGCCTCCTGGTCCAAAGAGGCTGCTCTGGGTGCCTGGTGCCCACCCAGGAGTGGGATGTGGAGAGGGCAGGAACAGCCACCCCATGAACACCTGTGCCTGAGCCCTGCCCTCCTCATGCTTGCATTTCAGGGCTGGTGGTCCTGGGCTCCAACGGGGAGTACCCATACCTGTCACCCCGTGAACGGCTGGAGGTGGTGGGCTGCGTGCGCCGGGCTCTGCCCAGGAACTGCCTGCTGCTGGACTGCCTGCTGCTGGCTGGCTCGGGCTGCGAATGTGAGTGTCTGTGTGGGCAGCACAGGGACCATGCATCCCCCCTGGGTCATTTCCTCACCCCTCTGCGTCCCCCCCAGCCACCCAGGCCACCATCGAGCTGACGGTCAGCATGGCAGAGGCGGGGGCCAATGTGGCACTGGTTGTGACACCCTGCTACTACCGGGGGGCCATGACCAGCGCTGCCCTGGTCCAGCACTACACAGAGGTGAGCTGTGCCTGGTGCCCACTGCAGCACAGCTGGTGCAGTAGGATGGGGAGCGTGTCCTGCATGTCTCCGACCCACCCCAGCTGCTGAGC